TGGATAGAGCGTCAGCCTGCGGACTGAAAGGTCCCAGGTTCGATTCCGGTCAAGGGCATGTACCTGGGTTGCGGGCACATCCCCAGTGGGAGATGTGCAGGAGGCAGCTGATCGATGCTCTCTCTCATCGATGTTTCTAACTCTCTATCTCTCTCCCTTCCTCTCTGTAAAAAATCAACAAAATATATTTTTAAAAAGGGGGGGTGGGTGGACAGGCCAGACCCTTCTGCTGACTCCCTTCTGTTGGGCAAAGGTGACGGGTATGCCCTAAACAGCAACGAAGCATTTCCAGGCTGAGGGAGAGAGGCCAGGCTTGCATTTGAAAACAGCTTTTGGCAAACGTGCACTCCAGACACAAAGGCCAGCCTTTCCTGCTCTTCTCGGGGAGTTCGCACATCTCTAACTACAGTTTGGTCCTTGTTCTAGGTGTGCTGGAAGAGGCAGAGTTTTACAACATCGCTTCTCTTGTGCGGCTGGTTAAGGAAAGGATACGGGACAACGAGAACAGAACTTCCCAAGTAATGGATTTCGAATTTTTAAGGGGAAACTACCTCGAGTGGCTGTCTGTCCATGTGTCTGGGTGTAGTTAGGAAAGGATGACTTGCCCTCAGAGCCTGAGGTCTGTGTGGAAAACTGTCTGTCTGCCAGGCCGGCAGCATGTACTCCACCAGACTTGTTCAGAACAAAAAACAGAGAAGAAATAACAAAGAAGACAAAACAGCCTCATGTCCCTGTAGAAGAATGGGGAGGCTGCAGCTGCTCACCATATGGCAGTGGGAGGCCCCAAACCTGCTCTCGCGGAGGGAGCATCTGTCTCCCTCCACGTGAAGACCAGGCCGGGTCCCGCTTGCACCTGGTGGCTGCTCTTTGTTAGGACAGGCCTTCAGTGTGTGGCCACATCACAGCCGGCTCCACCAGCCACCTGAAACCAGTCTCATGGTGTAGACTTTAGAACAGCGGTTCTCAACCTGTGGGTCGCGACCCCTTTGGGGTTCGAACGACCTTTTCACAGGGGTCGCCTAAGACCATCGGAAAACATATATAATTACATATTGTTTTTGTCATTAATCACTATGCTTTCATTATATTCAATTTGTAACAATGAAAATACATCCTGCACGTCAGATATTTACATGACGATTTATAACAACAAAATTACAGTTATGAAGTGGCAACGAAAATGATTTTATGGTTGGGGGTCACCACAACATGAGGAACACTATTAAAGGGTCGCAGCATTAGGAAGGTTGAGAACCACTGCTTTAGAAGTTGCTTGTTTATTGTGCTCCTGAGGAAATAATACCAAGCTTCTCATTTTATTATGAAGTCTAGATTTTGGTATTAACTCAGTAGATAATAGTAACAAAAGTGAAACACAGTTTCCCACCCGGTTTGGGAAGGGAAGACATAGAGCTTATTCGGCCTATTTTATGTCACATCACCCATCCATGTGTCTTAAGAGGCCACAGTAGCTTCGATTAGGCCGTTGGGACTCTGTGACCACTCGAAGTCCCATGCCCTCATGAAGCTGGAAGTCTAGCAGGAAACACAGACACCCCCGTTCCTATATGAGGCTCTACTTTAAGTACAACTGCGGTTACAGGCAGGGTCAGACCTCCCTGACCGTCTGGCCTGCAGCGTGACGTGCCTCCTGCCCGAGCAGATGCCGGTGGTGGAGGCTTCTTGAGAGCTGATCTGCTGCAAGGTAGAATTTTCCTGTGGTTAAGAAGGAAGCAGTACATTTCTTTCCACAGTAAAAAATAGTTCCTTGCTCCTTGTGTGTTTGACTTGATAGATCCATTTTCTGGCTCTGAATGGAATAACCGACACCTGTGACAAAAAATGAACTCTCATCACGCTGTCTCCTGCAGTTTGCAGAGGTGGGAAGGAGGGCTTGTTCGCCGGGTTTCCATCCAGCTGCGGGCTGAAAGGCTGCTTTAATATCCAAGATGAATTTCCAGTTGGTTAGCGGATTACCAGTGAAATAGGATCGAGTGTCACCAAGCTTTTGCACCTCATATTATATTCACAGGGCACCTTTCCCTATTGTGGAGCTTTAAGAGCTGAGATATTGTGAGAATTCTAACCCCTCATCATACTTGGTGTCTGGTGACCGGCCATTAGCCTATGAAAGACACTTATCACTCAGGAGTTTCCAAGGGTTTATTTTTTATTCCTCGGTCTGTAGCAGAATGTCACGTCTTCCGCTGCGACACTTTCACTGTCCGGTAGCATGGCAGAGGGTAAAGGTCGCTGGAACATGTATGTGTATGTGATGGGTTCCTATTTCATATGTTACTCCCATAATAAGGTGTCACTGCCAATAAACCAAAATATAATAATCTACATTGTCCACGTGGATGTTAGACACGAGCAGCTTAGAAGAACATGTGGCTTTCTTGTCCAGAGTAAGTTTACTCTGTTTAGGAAAATAGAGGAAATCTGAGAACACAACTCATCCCTCTCCACTTGAGAATGATTTTCCCCACTGATTCATATCCCTGGACCCTTTGGTTTTTGGATACATTGTTATTGAAAAGCTACAGCGCTGCTTGTAAAGGGTTAGAGGTTGGCTGCCAAGAAAATATTCCAAGCAAACTCCTTTTCAGTGTTTGTTCTTTTAGCCTCACTGTTCGTGGTTGTCGCAGGGCCCAGTGAAGCACGTGTACCGAGTCCTGCAGTGCCAAGAAGAGGAGCTGACCCAGATGGTCTCCACTATGTCTGATGGCTGGAAATTCGAGCAGGTATGTTTCTGAAGCAGTACAGCCCCAGTGTCTCCCTGGGAGTCCACACTCCAAACACGGACCTCCATGGCCAGCTAACAACCTGGGAGTTCGGCAGGGCCCCATGTGATCCTGCTCCAAAGCATGGGAATAGAGAGCTACTCAGCGTGGATCATTTATAACCAAGGTTCCAACGTGATGGTGCTAGAGGGAGTCAGCCAGCGTGTTTGGGCTTGAAATGCCTCTCTCTCTCCCTTTTTTTTTGTAATAGTTCATTGCGTTTTAGAGAGAGTGGAAGGCAGAAGAGAGAAACATCAGTGTGAGAGTGCAACATCGATGGCTGCCTCACGCCTGCCCCCACTTGGCATGTGCCCCAACTGGGAATCGCACCAGCAACCCTTTGGTGCACAAGACAGTGTCCAGCCAACTGAGCCCCACTGGCCAGCACTCTCTTTTTTTTCTCCCCCAGAGGGATTTTTTTCAGAAATGCATGTGGATGCATTCTAGAATAATTACCTAAAGAAGACTAGGATTCACCAATAGCCCTTCCTTCGCTTGCCCCAGGGTCAGAACTTTATCATCCTGGGTAGAAGTGTAATCGGCAGAGAACGTGGTGAGCTGCAGTAATAAAAAAGGAATCAAGCACACGGTTACTATCCCTGGGCTCTGGATTCCGTCCTTGTAGCTTTTGCCATTAGATGGCAGAATTGTTCTGTTCATCTACTTTCTTCAAAACACGGGTGCTGAGCATGAACAGAATGAATATATTGTCATTTTATTTGGATCGTGCCAATTTCCATGTAGAGTTTAAGAGGCCAGTTGAACTGTCACCATAACTTACCTTCTCAGAAGTTCCTTTTTGTGTCTCTGTCTTCAGAACTGATACTGGGTTTTTCCTCCCACAGACCTCCCACTGCAGAATCCGCTCTGCCTGTGTATCCTTCTAGTCCTTGTCAGGTGTGGGTTGCAAAATGGTGCCATACTTCCACTCCAGAAGTGTTTCCCTGATTAAAGTCTTAAGCAGAGGATGTTATAAATACGTTTTTAAAGTATTCTTTTTTTAAAAAAAATATTTTTGTTGATTTCAGAGCAGGAGGGAAGGGGAGAGAGAAATAGAAACATCAATCATGAGAAAGAGTCATTGATTGGCTGCCTCCTGCACACCCCCTACTGGGGATTCAGCTTGAAACCTGGGCACATGCCCTTGACTGGAATCGAACCTGGGACCCTTCAGTCCATAGGCCGACGCGCTATCCACTGAGCCAAAGCAGCCAGGGCTAAAGTATTCATGTCCTGTAGGAAGACTTAGTGTGCTCTCAGTGACTCCGTTATATGGGTGAGGAAGTTAAGGCACAAAGGGGCTGAGGCGTCTGCCACCCGGCCATACAGCATGTCAGTCATGGTCCCCTGACTTGCGGCCCCAGGGGCTCGCCAAGAAGACCTCACCCGTGGGCTCAGCTTCTTCTGCAGGTGTATTTTCTACTTTGAATTAAAGCCCGGATTCAGGTCTCAAAAAAGATAGAAGCTGCCAGCGGCATGTGGCTTGTGGTAGTGCTTCGGTGATTGGCCTGCTTTCCCCGGCCTTCCGGGCGCCAGGCTCCCGTCTCGCCCTCTGTCCAGATGAGCCACTGTGTGTAGTGTTCTGGCTGAAGCAGTGTCCATTTTTATTCACAGAAACATTCTGTTTCATTGTGTTTGCTGGAAGGAATGTGGTCATGTGATCCAGCTGCTGCCTTTGGGTGTCAGCTGCTCGGGTGAGGGAGATGATGGCAGAACTCAGACTTTTTTCCTCTGGGGCAGCCTCGCTGACAACGCCCTGATGAGTGACCGAGACCCGGTGACTGGGGCCTTGAGGGTCCCAGAGCCGCAGCGGTCACTCGGCAGGCTTGGTTCTGTGGCACTGAGCGGTGTCAGGTCCCGTGTGTTCACCAGGTCCTTGTTTTATCAGCTCATCAACATCGGGTCTTCCTATAACTACGGGAATGAGGACCAGGCGGAATTCCTCTGTGTCGTCTCCAGAGAACTAAATAACTCCACCAACGGCATCGTCATCGAGCCCAGTGAAAAGGCAAAGGTAAGAGGCCTTTACCAGAACCCGCGTGGGACTCGTTCGCCCCCCAGGGGCCCTGTCTCATTTCTCCCGGCCCTTCTCAAGGCAGCTTCGCGGTTCCCCTTCATTTGGGTCTTCTGATTGTTGTAATTTAAATCAAGATTTATGAGCAGTGAGAGGGGTTTTCGTTAGAAAACAGGACGGAAAAGGGCAGGCTGTTCCCAGGCTCTGACGAATCAGTGAAAAAGAAGGGTTTACCCCCAATCCCCCCAAGGTCGGCATTCTGAACCTCAGCGTTGGGAAGTACTGACTATTGCTTTTATTATTTGAAACTGTTCTTTTTCCTGCCTCAAGAAAAAAGGTATTAGGTTACCTTGGTGGCTACTTAAGTTACTGGAAAAGTGTTGTACACAGTTACCTTTTCCCCCAGTGGGGCCTCCTGAAACACAGACACACTCTTGTAAGTCGCCCCCATATGCCTGACCCGTTCTCTGGAGCAGGGAGAAGTGGTCCCACAGCACCGCTGGCCCCGCCACCGTCAGCTAGTCTCCAACCGGAGTGCTTTAGGGAGGGGTGGGCTCCCGTCCTGCTCGCTTCCTGGGTAACGGATTGCGGTGCGGCTCGCCGGGGCCAGTGGGAAGCGGTGGGTCTCCTTGCTTTCTTCAGGCGTCTGCTTAGCAGCTGAGCCTAAAGCAGTCTGCATCCAGAGTCTAAGCCTCAGCCCTCTCCCCACCTTCCACTTCCAGATTCTTCAGGAGCGAGGATCTCGGATGTAAACGCCAGAATCCTAGACATGGAGAGAGCGCCCCGGCAGAGCACCTCTTGAAGTTCAGTCTCACTCCTGTACAGTAACAGCTGCAAAGCAAAGCTGAGCCTGGCCCCCGTGGAGTGTGTTCTGGTCAAACCAAAGGACCCCCACCCCAGCCACAGGAACTGAACGCAGATGGAGCTTCGGCTGCAGCGCACCTTCTCAGAACCCTGCTCTGTGTTCCTCGCCAGTGTTACAGCAGCCTTACGGCCGCATCTGGGCTGGGTTTCCAGTTGGGACCTGGGCCGGGGAGGGGAGAGGAAGGCCTGCTCTTGGCCGGGCCTGTGCTTCCGGGAAGCCAGAGCAGTGAGCAGACTGTCCCTGAGCTGTGCCGGGCTTTCACCTGCGTGTGCCGAGGTGGGCGCTGGCACCGGCCGCTCTGTAACACTATCCTCCCTTCCTTCGATGCACCGCATACTAATGTAGCAGACGCAGAGGAGTCTAGCTCCCATTTGTCGAACTGAATTGAGGGTTTTGATGAAGGAGAGAGTACCCCACATTCCTATGAACTAAGCCTCTTTGAGGAAAGGGAGGATGAGGCGTCCTTGCTTGTGGTTGGAGGCTGGGGAGTGCTGCTCGGGGTTTGGGCCGTTCAGCTGCTGCCACAGTCAGCTTTGCCCCATTTGTCTCCAGGGCCGTCCAGGCGGCTTGCTTTCTTGCCAAGGGAGAGGGTGGAGCAGGCAGCATTCTGCACTGAATGGGACAGGCAGATGGGAGCTGGAGGTAGTTGGTGTCACTGCTTCTGCAGCCTTCTCTTACCCTTGGTCCCTCTTCCTTCCTGGACTTTTTAAACTGGGCTAAAGGGACTTTGGACCCCCCTGGTGGCTTGAGCGGGGATGGCTGTTTCTTTAAGAGTTGCCAAATGTGTCCTGTTACGGTGTCCAAAGTGTTATTTCTGTGATTGTCTCCTGGAAATGCCTTGACTGAACATGTAATATTTGTTTGTGTCTCTCTTGGTCTCTCACTTTGGCAGCCCTGTCCGTGACCCACACCTTCCCGCTAGTGTGTATGCGTTTGCTGGGCCGTCTGAGGGCTCTCCCTGTCCCTGACCCGCCCGCACCGTCACTGCTTTCTATGGAGGGCCATGCCCTTGACCAAACGCTTGTTTGCCCTGGGGGAGCAGAGCTGTGGCCGCAGAGCTGGTACCGGACCTTCTCTCAGCTTTGAGTCTGAGAGCAGCTGTGAATGCATGGGGGCCGGGAAGCCTCGTCTTTCCCGATGGCTCCCAGAGTGTGGCAGGTGGGCCAGAGAAGGGGAAGGCGCCTCGCGAACACGCCATCTGTAAGCCACCTCCAGCCCGTCGCTTCCGGTTCTTCAGAGCTGAGGGTCCCTCCGCTCCGCAGCTCACCTGCTTGCTAGGGGGCCTGGGGTCGTAATTTTTGGATGTGAGTATAGACTGTGCCAAGTGTCTTTTGAGCTTGTGACCTGCGCATGCCCAGAATTCTCACTTTGACCTTATTTCTCTGTGTAAAGTAGGATAGACATGTGTCTGCCAACAGACAAGGCTGCACGCCAGCCTGAGGTGCACATTGGCACCTCAGAAGCCTGGCAGGTGCCCAGGATTTTTACAGCTGTGACATGTCGAGGAACTTCTGCCTACAGTAAAAGCCGTCACCTTTCAGAAAGGTTGTAGGCATCCATCCTGTCATCTGTCGGGAGGGGGGAAAAAAAGGTTTAAATGTGTCAGGGAAAAGCGGCTCTGACAGGACAGAGGACTGGAGGAGGTGCTGTTTGGACAACTGGCATAAGGAACCTCAAATGGACGCGCCCAAGGAGACGTGCTTTCCTGGGCACTGGGCACGCTGATGACCAGCCTGGTCCCAGGCCACGAGGATGAGGAGGCGGGAGGCAGGCACGGCGAGCCCTCGGGATGCATTTCTCCTCGCACAAACCCACAGCGGGGCTGTAAGAGGACTGCCGAGCCCCTGCTCTGCTCTGAGACGCAGGCCTAAGTGGTATCTCTTATCTCCTGGAGGGCTGGCTTTCACCCAGCGTTCCTCCTGGCGGCCCAGGGACCCTCTAATGGTTCCAGTGCTCCAGAAATCTCAGATGATTTGTATCGTAAGGTTTCTGAAAAGTATTGAACCCAAACCCTTTATGAGCCAAGGAGTATTTTTCTTAAAAGCCTCCCCCCGGTAGAGTCTGGCTAATTCAGAGAGAGAGCTGGCCTTTGGCTTGGGGGTGTCACATGACCAGTGACGCATCCTCTCCAGCTTCCCAGTGCTGCCGAGCGGGGAGCGTCTGCCTGCTTCATTCTCCGCCCAGGTCTGTGGCCGCAGGCCATGCAGGTCAGGCCCAGGGGGCAGCCGGCGTCCGAATGACAGTCGTGGGCTTGTCGTGGCCTCAGAACCTGCTGTGTACCTTGGCAGTGAAGTGGGCCAGTCCCTCCAGAATGACTTCGTTCCTGCAGTCGCGGCTGATCTCAGGGGCGTCGGGAGGAAGGGACAGCTGCTGAGGGGGTAGGGCTGAGAGGACACCCGCACCCTGCAGCGTGGCCTTCCATCCAGACGTTAGGGACCATGCCCGTCACCTGTGGGTGCCCTTTATGACTGAGTGTTTGAAGAGTCCGAAATGGTGTGACCTCGTTTTTTCTTTTGGTCAATAAACACATGAAATGAACTGCTGAATCTCGAGACCTTGGGTGTGTTTTCCGGTATTGCCAGCTCCTTGTGTCCACTCACCATTCGTGCTTCCCCAAGGCCTCCCTGGAGGTGAACGGCACCGTTCCCAGCAGGGCCGCCCGCAAAGGCCTGGTTTCTCCTGCTGCCAAACTGCCCGCGGGGGTGTTGGGCCTCCTCCCTCCCACTTTCGTTTTCCTGAATCTGAAAGGACTCAGTGCGGAGAACCAGAAGGTGGGACAGATGGGCTATCCACGGGGCTGGAAAGAGATGGGGGGAGGAGTAAGAGGTGTTTTTGTGGGTTTTCTTTTCATTTGTTTTTATTTCAGAGAGAAGAAGGGAGAGGGAGAGAGAGAAACATCAATGAGAGGGAAACATTGACCAGCTGCCTCCTGCACACCCCCTACTGGGGGTGGAGCCTGCAACCCAGGCATGTGCCCTGAGATCGAACTGTGACCTCTTGGTTCATGGGGATGACGCTCAAGCAAATGACCACACCGGCCGGGTGAGATGCTTAAGGGAAAAACAGCCCTCCTGGAAGACAATAAGTGACTAGGTTGCCCATTTTCTCTGCAAAGTAGAGGGTGAGAAATGTGAGATGAACACCCAGTCACCAAGTGAAGGACCCCTCACTTGAGGCATCAGGCAGGGTGTGGGATCCTCAAAAAGCCTTTGTCTCCCTTCCCACCCCCACCCCACCCCCACCCCCGTGCACCCAATAGGGAGACAACTGTACACAAAGGTCAAGAACAAGGCACAAGGTTGTATCAGCCAGGGTCTCATGAGATGGAGACCCCAGTGGTTAACAGGTTGTGGGGAAAGGTTGTAGGGATTACAAGACGCTCCCAGGGCCCAGGAGCAAAGGGGAGACGTTAGGATTATGAAGAGGAGGCTCAGGAAAGCTGGGTCTAACTAGGAAAACAGAGCACACTGCTGGGAGCAGCTACGCCTGCCCTGCCGGAGAAGCTGCAGTGCTGTGGTTGCTCGGCTGGTTGGAGCATCATCCCAGGCACCAAAAGTTTGAGGGTTAGGGCACATACCTAGGTTGTGGGTTCGATCCCTGGTTGGGGCAAGTACGGGAGGCAAACCGATCGATGTTTCTCACATCCATGGTTCTGTCTCCCTTCCTCTCTCTAAAATCAATAAACATATTCTCCAGTGAGGATAAAAAAATATATAAATAATAAAGATCCTTTCCTCTCCCCGGCAGGAGGCAGCACAGTGCCAACAGTCATTGTTCCAGGGCCTGAAAGAGTCACACTTATTCCTGAGCAATGTTAATTACTCCTCCAATGGCTGAAGGGGTGAGAGAACACCCTGTTTGTGATGGGCAGTTCAGGCCCTGTGGTCACTTGATGTCCATGGTTAGGTTGCAGGAGCTGCATCTCAAAAGGAGAAGAGTTCATCTGCAAGAGAAGGTGAACCCTGGCGTTCGGCCTGCTGATGCTCCAGGGAGGGCTTGCCGGCGGCTGCAGGCAGCGCTAGCGCCTGGAACAGATCACTGAGTGTGGCCGGACCTGCTCAGTCACAAAGCCCAGGTGGCAGCCTCCAGCTAAACTTTCAGTAAGAATCACACCACACATTTTCATCAGGAAAGCTTTCCACTGGAGGGAACTGTTACTCCATTAAGCCAGTTTAATTCCTTGATCGGTTTTCTATGCAGTGCGATTAAGTTGTTTCCAAGTTTCTATTTTCTTGTTATTGATTTCAGAGAGGAAGGGAGAGGAAGACAGAGATAGAAACATCAATGATGAGAGGGAATCATTGATAGGCTGCCTCCTGCAGGTTGGACCAAGCCCACAACCCAGGCATGCGCCCCCGACCGAATCGAACTCGGGACCCTTTGGTCCGCAGGCTGACACTCTATCCACTGAGCCAAACAAGCTAGGGCCCAAGTTTTCTATTTTCATTTTACTTAAAAATATTTTAATTAAGGCCCAGCCAGTTTAGCTCAGTTATTGAGCATCAACCTATGAACCTATTCCTGGTCAGGGCTCATGCCCAGGTAGCCAGCTCTATCTCCAGTGCTGGGTGTGCAGGAGGCAGACAATCAGATTCTCATCATTGATGTTTCTATCTCTCTCTCTCTCTCTTCCTCTCTGAAATCAAAAATACATTAAAAAAAATGAAAGCAGTAAAACATTTTAAAAAATTCCAATGACAATTTTAAAAAAATTTTTTCATTAAGATTGTTTCCCATGTTGATTTTATGGTGGAACTTGAATGATAGCTTTTGCCCTTGTGAGCCTTCTTTTGAGGCCATTATTTCCTCCAAGTCAAATCTGGCAGCTCAAAATCTAAGTTTCATAACTTTTTGAAGAAAGTGGCATATTGCAAACGTCTCAGGACATTTGTCCCGTTGGATAGGGAAGAATAAGAAACAGAAAGACTAACAAGAATCCCTTAGTGCTGAAACCGGTTTGGCTCAGTGGATAGAGCGTCGGCCCGCGGACGGAAGGGTCCCGGGTTCGATTCCGGTCAAGGGCATGTGCCTGGGTTGCAGGCACATCTCCCGTGGGAGATGTGCAGGAGGCAGCTGATTGATGTTTCTCATCGATGTTTCTAACTATCTCTCTCTTTTCCTCTCTGTAAAAAATCAATAAAATATATTTTAAAAAAAAAAGAAGCCCTTAGAGTGATGAGGGTCTCTTCAGTTTTGCTCGTCCCTTTTTTCCTCCTGAGGGTCAGGACCAGAGTGGGAAGCAACAATCTTTAGGATCACCCATCAGCTCATGTTCGGATCAATCCACTTTAGACCAAGAGGGGGCCTTGAAATGCTATCTCCTACCGCCACCCTGTTGATTCATAAGAGAAAAACCATGGTCCAGAGAGATTTAACGAACTGCCCAAGATCCTTCTGCCACTGAGTTGCCGTTTTCCCTCTCAGGCTCGTAAGGAGTCCCTTAAGTCCACTGCAAGTGGCCCCAGGTGCATAGCGGCTCTGCCTCCTGGGACGCAGGCTCCGGAAGGAGGAATAGCCTGTCACAGGCGGCCTGCATCAGCGCCGCAGCAGGCCCAGCGGTACACCTTTCCCTGCTGACGTCACAAGCAGGGTGCTGGGGCTGGTCCCACTTGAATTGTGACGTCAGGAAGCAAAACTGCAGGCAGTTTTTCAGGGGGCGGGGCAGGGGGGCAACTTGATAGGGAGACTGCAAAACACAGCCGAAGGGAAAGGTGAGATGGTGCTTATCAGACCCAGAGAGCTTAAAGGGTGGGAACCCACTAGACCAGTGGTTCTCAACCTTCCTCATGCCGCGACCCTTTAATACAGTTCCTCATGTTGTGGTGACCCCCAACCATAAAATTATTTTCGTTGCTACTTCATAACTGTAATGTTGCTACTGTTATGAATCGTCATGTAAATATCTGATATGAAGGATGTATTTTCATTGTTACAAATTGAACATCATGAAAGCATAGTGATTCATTACAAAAACAATATGTAATTATATATGTGTTTTCCGATGGTCTTAGGCGAGACTAATGGGGACCCTCCCAGCAGCTGGTGAAATGGGACCAGGGCACTCATGCCCACGGGTTCTCTTCCCTCCCGACAGGGCCGCCACGCCTCTGGCCTTCCCTGACATGCAGAGAGTTTCACGTAAGTACCTGTGCTTCCCACCTGCCTGCTGATGGGCCAAAGAAGTGGTTCCTTTCCCCTGTCACGTGCCTGCTGTCTGCCATCCGCCCTCTGTCCAGGACTTGTTCCAGGAATTGGGGCTGGGACAAGGAGAACACAAGCCCCAACTTCTGTCCCCGCTTCGGCTGACTGATGGCACAGTCCCCGTCCCCCAGGGGCAGGAGTGTCGTACCCCTGTAAGGCCCCCTCGGCTCCTGCCTGGGCTTCCGCACGGCTTTGCTCCGTCTCCCTAGAGCCCGTCCAGGACCATGTCCCAGGGGCGCAGCCCCCGGCCCAGCCCTCCAGACCCCCGCCCGGCCAGCGCCCGCAGAGGACCAGCCGCAGCCTCTGCAAGTTTGAGGACCAAGTCCTCTGTCCCATCTGCCTGGAGGTGTTCCGCAGCCCGGTCACCACCGCCTGCGGCCACAACTTCTGCATGACCTGCCTCCAGGGGTTCTGGGACCACCAGGCGGCCGAGGGCGAGACGCTCTACTGCCCCCAGTGCCGGGAGAGCTTCGCCTCCAGGCCGCGCCTCTGCAAGAACGTCACCCTGGAGGAGATGGTGAACTGCTTCACCCAGGCCAAGAGCCCGGCCGCGGCGTCCTCCTGGAAGCTGGCCGGGCCCCGCGACGTGCCCTGTGACTTCTGCGGCCCCCAGAAGCGCCGGGCCGTCAAGTCCTGCCTGCAGTGCATGGCCTCCCTGTGCGAGAACCACCTGCGCAGCCACGCGGAGGACCAGGTGTTCCGGGACCACCAGCTCCTGGAGCCCCTGTGGGACTTCAAGAGCTGCCTGTGCCGCAAGCACCGCAAGCTGCGGGGGCTGTACTGCCGCACAGAAGGCTGCTGTGTGTGCGGGACCTGCCTGCTGGAGGAGCACCTAAACCATGACACCGTCCCCCTGCAGGAGGAGCGCGCCCGCCGGGAGGTGAGGCTGGGGTGGCGGCTGGAGCAGGGCGGGAGCCAGGGGCCTGGGGTTCTGAGTCTTCCGCTGAAGATGAAAGTCTTTCTCAAGTTCCTCCCCTCACCCCTGCACCCCGGGCACCTCCACACACCTTTCCTCGGAGGACAGTTCTGCAGCCCTTAGAGTGATGGCCAAGAGGGTCAGGCCATGACAGGAAACAGTGCCGGCCGGTCAGGTGATTACGGATCCAACATGGTCTGGATGAATCCTATGATCAGTGGGTTTTGGGGTGTGTTTCTTTGTGCTCAGAACAAAAGGAAAGGCTGAAAGAACAGATATAAAACTACAAACATGAGGTCCTTCTACGTGAGGACATTCTATCACGTACATCCTAGAACAGCGCTATTCCAACAGCCACCGTTCATGGTCCGTGGCAAGGAGCTCGGCCGGACGCGAGCCAATGCCTCACTGTTGTGTGATGAGCTGACACCCTCTCCCTGGCAAGCCCTTCTCGGCGAGAGAGCAGGGCGTTGATTTACCGTCTGGCACGAGCTCCTCATTTGCTGCGGGTCAGCAGCAGTTCCTGGACAGGCACTTGGACGAGTGCGGTTCTGTCTGTAATACATCATAAGACGGACACGCCCGTCCGGGCAGGGGAGACTAAAGGCGTATGTAGAAGGACTGGCCTGGCAGTGCTGCCCCGGGAGCCCAGGGCTCCCTACCTGATGTGCCCTTTTTCGACCCACTGCCTCCCAGGCCTCTCAAGCCACTGACCCCTTCTTGTGACCTGAAACCCGAAGGTCATTCCTGTCAGGGGCAGAGAACCTGACTCCTAAACACGGGGAGAGACCTACAGCAGGGGGGTGGGCCCTCGGCCGGCACCCCTTCAGCTCTGCTCTTTCTCATCCTCATCCTCATCCTCATCTCCTTGAAACCTCTTTGGAATGTGAGAGGAATGAATATCTCTTCTGGGCTCGAACATGGGGCAGCTTGCAGAAGGCTTCTCCTGGGCGCCCCTCCATCAGGGGCCCTCTCCTCCACCCACCCTGTCACCCAGGTGGAGCTGCGGCAGGTCCAGGCCAACGTGGAGAACCAGATGCTGATGATCACCTCCGACAGCCAGAAGCACCGCGAACAGGTGGCCTTCCTGCTGGTAAGGAGCCCACCCGCCCCAGGCCCAGGCCGAGGGGACTCAGGGCTTGGAGGGGCTGGGGTGGGGCCAGGCGGACAGAGACGGGGTGCCTAGGTGGGCTGGGGACCATGACAAGGCAGGGATCAGGGTGGAGCTCAGAGATGCCTCGCTAGGCACCCTCCCACCTCCACCCCCAGAAAATGATCCAGACAATGCGAGATGAGGTGCACTCCTGCTTCTCGGGGATCATCCAGGAAGTCAAACAGCTGCAGACGAAGGTCTTGGATTTTGTGGAGAAAGAGGAGGCCGCCGCCCTGGAGAAGCTGGGCAGCTCCATCCAGCAGAGCCACACCTGGCTCCTGAAGCTGGAGGCGGACAGCATCTGGCTGCGCACCCTGCTCACCAACCCGAGTGACCAGCAGTTTCTGCAGGCAAGACCCACCCACCTCCGCGCCTGGCCCTGCCACAACCTCCACTCCTCCACCCACAGACACGCCTCAGCGTTTGGGGCGCCTCACTGGTCCACTCCCCTGCCTCCCAGGTCATCTGTCCTGAGCTTACACCCACCCCCTGGCTTCCTCCACCTCAGCACCCAGCCTGGCCCTAACGCTCCTGCCTTCTTGTCCCTGGAACGGATGGGATGTACCCTAGGGTTCTGGGCATCTGACTGCTAAGTTTCTCCACATGCCCCCAGGCAGGGCTGGAAGTGAGACAGAACAACCTATGAGCCCGGATTAAAATCCCATTTCTTTCCCCAGCCCTGGCCTGGCACCACAGCCTGGTTGGGTGCTGCTGCAGGGGGGTACCAGGCAGGGTAGCTGGTGGGGTCAGGTGAAGGCTGGGGGAGAGCCTTCTCTCTGGGCGGGGCCGGGGGCTGCCCCAGACCTGTGCTTGGAACTCCTAGCACAGCTCCCCTTCCTTCAGTGGCCATCGCACCCCCGAGCAGACTTCGAGGGCTGTTCCTCCCCTGTCGTCGTCCCCCCCCACCCGCCACCAGGAAGCGTTGGCAAGGTTTTTCCTAAGCAATTAGAGGCTGGAAGAAGTCCTGCCAACACTGTTTTCTAAAAATCACTGTGTAATGCACTAGGCCAGGCCTTTGGCAAAGCCCTAAGCTACGATGTCCAAACGCTAGGAGCTGGGGAGGGAGAGGCCCAGGTTTGAGAGCAGCAGTTTCTCCACCTGCCCCACGCTCTGGGCACCACCAAGCCCCTGCATAGGCGGGAACACCTGGCACCTGCTGGGGCCCTGGTGAAAGGTGGCACCACTCTCGCCCCTCCCCACACGCAGGAGTTCCCCAGGCTAAAGAGCTTCCAAGACTGCATGGAACCCCTAATGGGCACCAGCTGGGAGGAGGAGCAGAGCTTCCTGCAGCTACCCCAGACCCTGGCGGAGCTCCGGAGCCGGCTGGTGGGCACGGGGCTCAGCTTCATCAACCAGCTCCTCCTGCAGGGTCAGTACCTGCGGCCTGGGCCACTGGACGCTCCCTGTCATTCTGGGGCAGGGACAGCCCTGCAGGGCAGTGGCTGGGGTGGTTTCCGGGCATCGTAGAGGGCTCTGCCGGCCAGTGTGCCCCTTCCCCAGGTGACGCCTCCTCCTGGAAGCCCACGCCTCTCTGCGGAAGGATGCTGGGCTGGGCGTGTCCTCAGCAGAGCCCTCCATCTCCACAGGCATTAAAATGAACTCCTACGAGGTGCTGCCCCCCACCGTGGACAGGAATGCACTTCTCAAGTGTGAGTCCTTAGTCCTGGGGTCCCACCGCAGGGGGGGAGGAAGGGAACAGGGCCCCCAGGTGCCTCAACTTCCCCAGCTCCACCTCCACTCGGGCCAGGGCTCCAGAGAGATGCCAGCTCTCTCTTGCCTGGGACTGGAGGCCTCAGAGGGACTGGCCTGTGACTCCGAGGCCCTGATAGGAAAGAAAAGACTCTACCCTGTCCTACCCCACGGGTGGGCAAGGCCTCACCTACTGCCCAGAGGCCCTTCAGCCTTCCCTGGCCCGTGTCGCACCACCCTGTCCTCCGCTGGGTGCCTGACCACCTCCCTGAGCTTTAGCCAAGCCAGTCGGCAGACCCCGTCCATTTCCGCCTCCGTCTCCCTTCCCGCTTGACGTTCCCACAGCCCTCCCTCGCCCAGGCTGGGCTGGGGGGCCCAGGCCCAAGGACTTCCCTGCAACCTCCAGGGTTAGGGATGCACTGCCCTTGGTGACCCCTCCCTCTGAGTGACCTCCTCCGGGAGCCCTTGACTCCCCCTCAGTTCCCCTCTATCTTGCATCCTGAATGAATAAAAGGGAGGTTGTGTGAGGGTCTGTGAGGGCACAGAGGGCGCCTCAGCGCTCAACGCTTCTAGAAAGGTGGGCCTTGGGCCCTGGCCAGTGTGGGCTCAGTTGGGTGGGCATCATCCAGTGCACCAGGAGGCTGACAGTCAAGGGCACATGGCCAGGTTGCAGGTTTGATCCCCGGCTGGTGGGGAGCATGCAAGAGACCAATGAATGCACTCTCACATTGATGTTTCTCTCTCTCCCTCTCCCTTCTTCTTTCTCTAAATATCAATAAACTATTCTTTTAAAAATAATACATATATATATATATATAGAGAGAGAGAGAGAGAGAGAGAAACGGTGGGCCTTGGGACAACACCCATCTCATCCTCTAAACCAGTGGTTCTCACCCTGGGCTGCACATGAGAACCACCTGGGAATCTTTTTAAAATCCTGATTTCTGGGCCTCATCCTCCGGAAATTCTGTTTCTTTGTTACTAATGTTGCGGCCCCACCCCATCACAAAGAAACAGAATTTCCGGAGGACGAGGCCCAGAAATCAGGATTTTAAAAAGATCCCCAGGTGGTTCTAATGCGCAGCCCAGGCTGAGAACCACTGCTCTAAACTGTTTGGGCACATCCCCACCACCACCCGTTGGGGACTTAAACGGGGGTGCGGGGGGCACTCCTAGGAGCTGGGGGAAGCTCTGGCGTCCTGGCCGGTGCCCTGGGACCCTGAGCGGCTCCTGTCCGCCCCCTCCCCGCCCCCAGGCTACTGCAACCTGAAATTCGACCCCGCCTGGGCCAGCGAGGAGCTCTTCCTGTTCAAGGAGACGCACTCGGTGCTGAACCTGGGCGTCCTCCTGGAGCCGTTCCCCGCCGGCGGCCCGCTGCCCGGCTTCAAGCAGTGGCCGCAGGTGCTGTGCTCGCGCGGCCTGGCCGAGGGCCGCCCC